TCAGCGAACTACGACTTGGTGATCGTGAATCGTACTTTCGGTAGGTTCAGTTCGAGTATTTTAACTTTTAATTTCGTAATTTTACCGTCAAGCTCACACGTTTAAATTTGTTACGGCTATTTGTGCATTTTGGAAAGATGGAATCGAGGATTGTGGTTGGTTTATTCTTCCGCTTCTGCTTCCGACTCCGACAATGCAGTTTTCACTAGATCGTAAGCGACGGAGTCATAGGCAGAATCGGTGTTCTGCTTCCGACTCCTTCGGTTTGATTTTCTCTAGATCGTATCGCTCCACGCTTCTGATTACGACTCCGACTACAACTCCGTCGCAAGTAAAAACCAGCCTTAAGTTGAAATTGTAAATTGGCCACCGTAACGAATAAAAAAGCTGACGTTTCGAGCATTAGCCCTGCATCTTTTGCTCTGAAGAAGGGCTAACTTAGAATATAATAGAATCTAACTGATATAACCAATATAACCAATTATATTCTCATTACTAGTTTGCTGAATAATATGTGAGAAGAGAAGGGAGGGAAGTAAAGATAATTTATCTTTAAAGAAGAAATACGCAAGAACAAATCCTCTCAAATATAGTCTTTTTTCACAGGATAGCTGATTCCTGGAATCTTTTGCCCTTTGATACTCGTAGAGCAGGAAGTGTAAATATTTTTAAGGCAGGTGTTAAGAAGTATTTAGTGGATAATATATCTAATTAATATATTCTGTGGAATTTTTATAATATTTATTTCTAGTTTAAAACATAATTATGTAATAATATGTGGTAGTCGGAAAAAACATAATTAATATGTAATATATTTATAGCCTATTTAACTTTGGTGTTCTGTTTTCATATGGGTTCCTAGACTCCTTTATGGATTTTCCATATGACGTTTCTTCTCTTTTCGCTTGTACTTCATAACTTTATTTGTTTTAACTGAGCCATTAAATTGTACTAAATTAAAATTAAATTAATTAAAATTAAAAATTAAATTACATTAAATTAAGTTACATTTTTACTTCTGCAAGTTTAAAGGCTAATAGCTTAAATAACAAATCAACATTTACTTTTCTAAAATAAAGCAGGAAAATGCATGCAGGTTGGAGACAATTGCATGCATGCTAGTGCAAATGCTATTTCTTCAATACATAACAGCATCAAATTCTTATTTTGGGAGGATTACTGACAAAATAATACATTATGTTACTATAACATGAATCATTTCAAATTTAGTCAAAAACCTAGATCATATCTTACAACAGATGCCGAGAATGTGATAAAAATGCAGTTCAGTTGACAAAAGTACACACAGATATTAACCCAATAATGGCCGCAGCTTTTGTGGAAAACTGTGTTTTGAAGCTAGTCAAGCAGATTTTGGGTCACTGTTGTGGCTTTAAAAGCTCAAACTTACCAAAAACCCCTTGACAGCTCGTGCACTTGACGGCCTTTTGATCCAAATGCAAAATGGCAGCCTGAAAATCTTGGGCACGCGCAGAGAGCAAAATTTCGACATAGTTTTTGGGTTGAAAAGTCATGCCCCACTTACGACTTTTACTTTTCTCTCTTTCTCCTGCCCTTTTTTTCCCTCTCCTTGCCTGAAGTTTCTCCTCACTTGCTGGAAATTAAGTAGGCTTCATTNTTGGGTCACTGTTGTGGCTTTAAAAGCTCAAACTTACCAAAAACCCCTTGACAGCTCGTGCACTTGACGGCCTTTTGATCCAAATGCAAAATGGCAGCCTGAAAATCTTGGGCACGCGCAGAGAGCAAAATTTCGACATAGTTTTTGGGTTGAAAAGTCATGCCCCACTTACGACTTTTACTTTTCTCTCTTTCTCCTGCCCTTTTTTTCCCTCTCCTTGCCTGAAGTTTCTCCTCACTTGCTGGAAATTAAGTAGGCTTCATTCTAGTGTAGAGATTTTTCAGAAACTACTCATTATTTTCAAAGCACATGCTCGGAAAGGTAGGTGGGTAATGAAACACGATTTTCATGCAGATTTTCAGGTCAGAGTGACATGGTTTTTTGGCTATTTCTCCAATCTCCTTCCATCAATTGCGCTCATTCTGGTATCGTCTGTAAGATATTTTCAACCTGTTTAAGTACGTGCTCAAATTCGTGCTCCAGGGTTAAAAGTGATGACGTCACAAGGCGTAGAAAGGGTGTGGGTCCCCATGGACGCATATGGGCGCAATGAACGTCAATAGGTTAAATATTTAATTCATGGAGAGAGAGAGAGAAATTAATTATTTCTTAATCATTAAATTATTCATCATTAATCGATCACTACTAGTGGTTCACAGATAATGTGGGTACTATGACATCTTAGATTAGACATTGTCAGTTAAAAAAGAATTGCATGCATTCTTGTGTAACCCCATGAAATTACAGTTAACTGATAACAGACTGTCAGATAGAAAGTACAATGGACTTTTGTACAATCATGATATTTTAAAGATAACACCAGCTTTGTTTATGAATTCTTTGCATTTGTATTACAAAACATTTCCAGAATTCAAGTATAATATGTTGAACTTCTAAGTAGAGGCACTACTTTTAATTGGAGGTTTGGTTTATCTGTCCTCAGCAGTAGGTTTAAAACTAATAATCAATTCTCACAGGAAGTCAGATTGATAGGTTAACTTGAAATAACTTTCAACATTCCACTATCTTATAAAACGTTATTACCATCTTCCAGGTAAGTTTGAATATGTGAGTGATGTATTATTACTATCACAATCATGATACTTTGACTACTTCACAGACAATACTGTTGATTAAAAAATTAATATTAAGTATCTCCATTGAAATACATTTGTTATTATTCTCATAGTTAGTGTTTTGCTGACTGTAAGTCATAACTGCTAGTGAAAGCTTTGTAATTTATATATTTAGTTATTCTTTTCAAGATAAGCAGTTGATAAGAGAGAGTATGACACACCATATATTTAGTTATCAAATCTTCATTTCACTCATGAATAAAGGCTGAAAGTTTCTAAAGAAACTGTGGTGCTGCATCGGTGGGGGTAACAAGATAATTGGTTATATCAACTAAGTTGAAATTGTAAATTGGCCACTGTAACGAATAAAAAAGCTGACGTTTTGAGTGTTAGCCCTTCGTCAGAGCGAATGGGAGCTTCATTTCACTCATTCTGCTATTGTTTAAACTTAAAGGGATTTGGCTGTCTTGTGAATAATTGAAGCAAGATTATAGTCATCAATCTTGCAAGTGATTACAAAATATAAGTTAAGAGCATTTATTACACGACTCAGGCAGTCAGAGAGCCAATAACTAAAATCAACCAATCAAAATGCTCTATTGCCGGTCAATATTCTCTCAGTATTGGACCGGGCACTGTCCCAAATGGTCCCGGATGATACCGCACTTGTGTCCCTTTGAACTTCAGTCGTATAATAAATCTCTTATTAACCAAGTTTGCTCGGGACCGTTGTGGTTGGTTTATTCTTCCGCTTC